ATCCTCCTGATTAAATATACTTTCTTTTGTTTCTTCCCGAGGTCGTTTAGATCCTTCACTAATCGACTCACATTCCTTTTTATTCGGATATATATTTTCAAAGAACTCAACATTATCTGATTATATAACCATATTATTATGAATGTCGGGATTTTTTGATTTATGAATCAGAAATCGATATGCTTTACTATTGATCGTATATCCTATGAAAACACAATCAACGATTTTCGGTCATATTTTTACTCTTTTGTGTTTAAGACTTGCACTTTTGCCAAACATCCCCACACTTTAAAATAATTCAAGTTGGGCTTCCTTCTTTTCCATTTTTCATATGGAATGAATTGTGTTTTGCTATGGGGTACTCGATTTAGTATCCGATTAGCCGTAAGAACGACTTTCCCTCACAAGTTCTGTGGCAAACCAGAACTTATCAACAATGCGTTCATCATCTTCTTTAATGAACGATTCTTTTTTTCCGCAATTCCATTGGATTGGGGCATGTAAGGAGCCGTTGTTTGATGAATAATTCCATATTCTAAACATATTTCTTCAAAAGGAGATTCATATTCATCACCCCTATCACTTCTTATCATTTTGATTTTCTTATTAAGTTGCGTTTCAACTTTAATTTTTTATTGCCTGAATGAGTCTATTTCTTCATCTTTACTATTAAGTAAGTAAATATAACAATATCGAGTACTGTCATCAATAAAAGTTATGAAACACTTCTTTCCACCGCGAGATGATATTGACTTCATGTCGCAAATATCTATGTGAATTAAGTCTAAAGGATTTGAATTCCTTTCAACTGACTTATGAGAATGTTTAATATACTTAGATTCCACACATATTTGACATTTTGATTTGTCGCATTCAAACATAGGCAATCCTTCCAAATTAATTATTTTTCGCAAGGTTTTATAATTGACATGACCCAAACGTATATTCCATAATTCATTTGACTCAATTAAGTGAGAAGAAGCTGAAATATTATTATTATTCTCAACAACCATTACATTCAGCTTGAAAAGGCCCTCAGTGAGGTAACTTTTTCCTACAAACATCTAATTCTTACTTATTATAACTTTATCGGATACAAAAACATACTTAAACCCGTTCTTAACAAGAAGTCCAACAGAGACTAAGTTCTTTCTAATCCCTGAAACATGAAGGACGTTGTTCAAAGTCACCACCTTACCAAAAGTCATTTTAAGAAATATCTTCCCACATCCTTCAATTTTGGCCGTTGCAGAATTTCTCATAGAAAGCGTCTCTTCGGGTCCAACAGGAGCATATGTAGCAAACGCTTCTCTAACAGCACAAACATGGCGAGTGGCTCCATAATCAATCCACCACTCCTTAGGATTTCCCACCAGGTTGCATTCAGAAAGCATAGCACACAAGTCATCAACATTTTCGTGCTTTTCAACCATGTTTGCTTGACCCTTCTTCTTGTCTTTTTTTGGAGTACGACAATCTGCAGATCTGTGTCCAGGCTTTCCACAGTTGTAGCAATTTTTGTTGAACCGCTTCTTGCTTGGGTTGCTTTTTGGTCCTGAAGCCTTCTTCCTCTTTCTATTATTTTGAGGAGTCTCCTCAACAATGTTTGCTCCCATTATTGTTGAGTTTCCACGGCCTTTATTTTCAGCAGCTTCGTTGTCGTCTTTGATTCTCAACCAAACAATGAGATCTTCAAGGGACATCTCCTTGCGTTTGTATTTCAAGTAGTTTTTGAAGTCCTTCCACAAAGGAGGCAACTTCTCAATTATCGCTGCAACTTGGAATGCTTCATTAATGATAAGACCTTCAGCAAGGATATCGTGAATAATCACTTGCAATTCCTGGACTTAGGTAATAACATACTTGCTATCTACCATTTTGTAGTCCAAAAATTTAGAGGCAATGAATTTCTTTAACCCGATATCTTCCGTTTTGCATTTCCTTTCAAGCGCTATCCACAGTTGATTTGACGTCTTCACATTACTATAGATGTTATACAGATCGTCCTCCAGTCTGTTAAGAATGTAATTCTTGCGTAGAAAATTAGAATGCTTCCACGCCTCAGTCACGAGAAAGCATTCATTTTCTGGAGTTTCATTAGCCAGAACAGGAACATCTTCCTTAATGAACTTCTGCAGACTTAAAGTCGTCAAGTAGAAGAACATCTTCTGCTGCCACCACTTGAAATCAATCCCGGAAAATTTTTCGAATTTTTCTGCCGGTGTTGTTTGGCTTGTCGATGCATTGGCAGTCACCATAGGAACAGTCTGGTTCCCGTTGTCATTCGTCATTTCTGTAAAAGAATGACACAACATTAAAATTACGTAGATTTTAATCTCCAATGGGGTAGAAAACCACAAAGGTTTTAGTCTCCAGAACAGTGAGTATAACACAAATACAGAAAATATTAAATTCCTTAAGCTTGATAGTAAATTGTATTTGTAAAATAATTATGGAGAAGATAAAATAACATATAAACATAAAAGTAAAAGAAAGAGGATTTAATCCGAGCCCACTAAATTCACAGTATTTTCTTAAGGAATTTAATCCCCTCCTAGTACCCAAAGTTGTGGATTATTTCCTCCCAAGATAGAATGAATTACACACTGGTGTAGCAGTACTTCAAACCCCAGTGTTTCAGCAAACACAAAGATCGCTAGCAAATCACACTTATTGTTGCTTTCTTTGTAGTTAAAACAATGTAGAAGAAAAGAGGAGAACTTAGAAGTTCATATTAAAAATCTGAGAGAATGGGCTGGTATTTATAGCCAATGTTGAGCTCAAACTGAAAAGGTGCAACTCTTCAAAACTAAAGAGGTGCAAACTGTTTGTCTAAAAACGACCATAATGTAAATGACTTTTACAAAAAGCGAAGGCCATATGCTGTTCCTTTGGATTTAATATTAATATTCCGTTTACAAAAAAATCGGATATTTAATAACATTTCTGTTAATATTTAATATTAACAAATAAATTTGGTCCAAAAAATTAATCAACTTAGTCATACTTTTAAAATAAAAACATGTAACTCATTTATGAAATTTACTTCTAAATTGAATTCTACAACTTAGTTAATATTTTAAAATAAAAATATGTAACTCATTTGTGGGATTCATATATACAAATATTAATTATAATTACCAAGTACACACACACACACACACACACACACACACACACACACNCCCCCATAGGTTCAATACTAAACCTGTAGTAAATTGATCACATCAATACACTAATCAAGTGTGGCGTCTAGCAACACTCCTTAACGACCGGATAGCATGAAATATACAATTTACTCTCAAGAACCTGTAGAAGAATAATGTATTAATTCCTTCTGTCCTTATAGTTCTGGGTCACCCTAGGATATGGTTCAACTGTCAAATTCTAATAGGCGACTGGCTATGTGTTCATGTAAAAAATAATAGACCATTGAATGACCTAAGAAACTCTTTTCTTCTTTCATTCAATCGCCCTGGCTATGGTATTAATTTGGCCGGTTATAATTTATAACAACATGGAGCTTAAACTCATTACCAAGAGTTGACAGATTCCATCTTGATCAATCACTAATTCTTCAAGTATTTAATCGTAACCAAAATCCTTTCAACTATCGCCCTAGGGCCATAGATGTCTAGTATCAAAACACAATAAATAACTTATCAATTACTATGATAATATCAGGTCAAAGGAAACTCTTACATCACATTCTTCAAGAGAATATCCTATTGACAGTTTATGGTAATTCTAACCATTAGGAATTATCCAATGAATCAGTTCAATGATCATATCTCTATATGCATCATCTATTTATGTTATTTAGTTAATGAGATCAACTAATCTTTATCCCATAAAGACGATCACGTAAATATTGATCTAACCAGATTACTAATGTCCAAATTAATAATCCTACAATCAAAAATAAAATTTAGGTTAAATTGTAAGAGACTTTACTCTCATTATCATGATTTCATCACGATGACAAGTCTCAAAATTTAATCAAGGACCTTATTAAATTAATCAAACAATTAATAATAATTATGATAAATGAATATCAAATGTCATATATTTTTATATCAAATAACATTCACAAACATATGTTCATGTCATCAAATATGAGATTGAATGTAGGGCATATCTAATATATCTTTAACAGATTTTACAGCAAACTGCCTTGTTCAAGGTCATGTGTTATAGTGTTGATGAGTGTCCACAACAGTGTGACCCTTAAGCCACTGTCTCTGAGCTTAGAGTAATAGAAGAGGAGATCTTAGATGCAGAGGCTGCCAATCTTGACATATTTTTGGTTGGGTTGGGCCAACAACTGAGGTAAGTACATAAATTGCAAATTTGGCGAAATGTCTTCTATTTTCTACGAAGCATGGGATGATAACAACACGATCATTAAATGGTTTGAAGCCTCTAGAGAGATGGCACATTGGCAAGCCGAGTTTGTTATGGCACTTGGACAAGTTGAGGAGGCTGAAAAGCTGGTGAATGCCTCAAAAATTGATTCATTGATTGGTCTTTCCACCTGTTCGTGGAAACATTGTTTACAAGAAGGCAACTGATGTGATGTATATATCCGCGTGAGTAAAATATTTTGCAACCTCCATCAGTAAGTTTATTACGTACTACTCCTATATGTGTGTGTATTTTAAAAATAATTTTGTGAATTTAAACTTGAAGCAGTGATTTTGTTTAGATAGACCCGCCCCCCTAAAATTGTCTCTGAACAGGACCCGAGGCTCTGTTCCCTAACCTTTTTAGACCTTTTAATTTAATATACGTGGGGTCCTCCTAGGTTCCAGGCGGAGACAGAATTGATTTACTCATTTTCCCCTATGGAAAAACTTTTAGTAAGTACTCCTCTATTTTTTTTGTTCTGTTTCTCATTTTACTCGCATATTATTTTATTTCAAACGGCAGTAATGGTTTCGATGACATGGACAGCCACTGCATTCCAATACTCAAATCTATATGCAAGACCCGATGCAAATGTGTATTTCTGATATCCAGAGAAAGATAACAGAATAAAATCTAATTTTCTTCTCTGATTACTCCTCCTATAATTGCTAGCTCAAACATTACTTGCAGTTTCACTAAGACATTTAGAAAACATTAACAAAAAGGAATAAAGTTTAAGAGTGATAGTTTCTAATTATTATTATTATTATTATTATTATTATTCTTATTATAGTAATTCTTTTGATCTTTGGTTGTGGCTGTATTTGTTCATAGCAGAAGCGCCAGGAAAATTAGGGAGGAAAAATGAAATTAAACAACCAAAGGGGCAGAGGAGAAGTGAGAAGATGTACAGATTACTGTAATCTAAGCGTAGTATTTACTATACCCTCGGGAGCAAAATTTCAATGAAACCCAACTTTTTAAGAGGGCAAACCAGGAAAATTTATGCGATTAAGACAACCTCAGTCCTACTCACCCACACGTTGAAGTTGTTTTACATCTTCTCAACAGCACAAAAAGTTAATTTTGTTTTTGAAACGTTGTTGATGTAGTAAGTGGGTTTTGAAAGACTCATTGACAGATGTGTTCCGACTCTGCTGCATGCCTTCCATTTTTCATATAACCCTCTTTTTTCTGTCTCTTTCTCTCACTCGTCCTTAGTACTGGCGTCACCTTTTCGGGTCCTATTGCACTTCCGTTTTTACCTTTGCTCTCTGTTGATTTCGTTTGGGTTTCAAAATTGCAGTGCTCTTCTTGTTCTGTATGTGCTGTGAGAAAACGGAATGGGTGCCTTATCTCGTGCTTCTCTTTCTGAAGAGGAACGCAACAAAAGACTTGTTGAAGTTGGGAATGAGCTGCTTCAGCAGCTCCCTTCTTCTAAAGAGGAGCTTCTGGAGAAACTTGATGTGAGACCCTTTTCTTTTCAAATGGCACTGTATTTTTTTTTTTATGTAATTTTATTTCCGACCAAGATCAGAGCTTTTGCGTTTTCTTAAATGATGCTTCTATGCAAATGTGCGTTTCTTCAACGCTGCTGTTTTGTTAATAAAAGGTCATGAGATAGTAACTTGTTTAATTTTTTTATTACTGACTTCCTAAACTGATTTGAAATTTGTTTCGGGTAAAAATTTGTTAGTTAATCCTAGGATTAAATGATCCTTTTCTGTGTATGTAGTGGCGATTGGTAATAGTTTACTCCATGAGTCATTGATTGAAGCAGTTGGAATCTTAGGGAGGGGGAGGGGGGAGGCGAGGAGGATGGTTTGCATCGGGTGAAGATTCTGTTAAGCCTCCTAGGGAAAGATCATCTCCTAATAAGATGTATATTTCTTTTTAAAGATATTCGAAGAATTAAAAGCTCCATTTTATGTTTGCTTTGCAAAGCAATTGGGGAGGGGGGTTCAAAGTCTGGATAAAGATGGAGTGATGTGGTAGGTTGACATCCAATGAGTTTCTAGGGCGTGAAGAGCAGATCGGATATATAGGATTCGTGTATAGCTGACCCCTTCTAGTTTGGGATTGAGACATAATTAATTGATATTGTAGGAATTATATGATTGCTTGGGGAAGACCACGTCCATGAAGTCGTCATGTGATAAACAAGGTGTAAACAGTTTAAGTTTTGTGACTGCATCTCAGCTCTGGGACGAGTTTGTGCTTCACACCTTTAGCTCTAATATTNCCAATGAGTTTCTGAATAGGGCGTGAAGAGCAGATTGGATATATAGGATTCGTGTATAGCTGACCCCTTCTAGTTTGGGATTGAGACATAATTGATTGATATTGTAGGAATTATATGATTGCTTGGAGAAGACCACGTCCAAGAAGTCGTCATGTGATAAACAAGGTGTAAACAGTTTAAGTTTTGTGACTGCATCTCAGCTCTGGGACGAGTTTGTGCTTCACACCTTTAGCATTAATTTTCTCCCGCTATGTATCATCCATTTTGTGCCTCGTGTGGTGTGGGTATTTTTTCTTTTTGAGACGGTAACATATTAGTATAATATAATAAATTGAGATTACACAAAGCAGTGTAGTCCTATATAATTACAAGGAGAGTTGAAGCATGAGTTCCTAAGTCTTAAATATCATAAGTAATCTAAAATCTCATAAATAGACTCAGCTTCTTGTAAGTACTTCTGTTTACACCAAAATAAAATAGGACTAAACAATTCATCTTCAGCTTCTGAATGGAACTTCTGTTATCTTCAAAACATCTCTGGTTTCTCTCTTTCCAGATTGTCCACCAGATGCAAGTTGGGACAATCTTCCATCTCTCTTTGTGTCCTGAAAGGTTACCATCTCTGTTCCAACAAGCTAGAACTTCCTCGATTCTCCTTGGCATGGTCCACCTCGTGTGGGTGTATCTCCTCCTTGAGCAAAAGTTAAGTGGAATTGCAGCGATGTTTAACAAAATCTTTGAATTATCTTATGGTTTCCCTAAATTATTTGTTGCTTTGGATGAAAACCATAGGTTTATGGGATCAGATGTGTATGAACTCATTAGAAGGCTTTGAGATCTCTAAACACCTAATAATTTATGCTTGAACTTTGTGGTGAGCCAGGACAAAGCCAGAAAAGTTGTCAACTTGGCTATTCAAAATAGTACAAGAACATTCTTTCACTTGTAAGCTTGAATCACATGTTGCCTTGTGTAGATTTGGGATAGTGGGGTTAGGTGTTCACCCTAAGGAAGTTTTTAGGCTTGAACAGGAGACAAATGTGATACCTTATCCTTCAATGAATATTATACTATGTTTAATGATTCTTAAGTTTTCTAACTCTTCGTTGTTTGTTTAACATAGCAGCTGAACCTAGGATATCTACAGTTATCAACATGTTCCTCGCATAAAATTAGGGAAGAAGGTTTAGTTTCCGATACAACATGATCCATTTTGAATCTTTTTTAGTGTTAAGGAACTTGGCCAAGCTTTTATCTTGTGCTTATATTAAATTATTTATCACAGAGTAGGATTTTCATTTGGCATTGCTTTTTCACTTTTCCTGGCAGTGTAATTTATTATATGTTCTTATACTTACTGTTGTGTAAAGGACAAAATCAAGTTTCCAGATGGTAAAAGCACGTAAAACTATGGAGCGAGAGAGATATGCTTGACCTTGTGACGTAGTGTAGAACTTTATTTGTTTCTTTATTTTCTGCAAAATCTCATGATTTAGACTTCATCTGTTATACAGAAAAGCGTTTCCAATGTAATTGATGTGGTTCACCATTTGGTTTTGGTACGAAATTTTCAGAATTTAGAGCATCTTCTGTCAACGGTGGAGCAAGTTCCACCTGCATCGGTGCGAGATGCGTTTCAACCTGCAAGGGAAGCACTAGCTGCAGATGGACTTCTACGGCATCCTGACATAGATGTGAAGGTGTCAGTTGCATCTTGCATCAGTGAGATCATGAGAATTACAGCTCCAGATCAACCTTATGATGATCGCATAATTCAGGCAAATACAACTCTTACAGCCTTCTTTGCTTCAATATAAAGTCAGACTTGTTGCCAGTCTCTTTTCTAACTAAGCTGTTTTTCTTTTATCTGATGGTTCAGATTCTGTATATACGTTTATGATTTACTTGGTTAGTTGGATGCATGAATAGTATTTAGAATCTCAGTTTAGTTTCTTGCACGATTGCTGGACAGGAATTTTTTGAGCTTTCAGTATTGGCATTTGGGAAATTGTCTTGCATTGATGGTTGTGGTTATTCAAAGGCTGTTTCAATTATCGAAGTTCTTGCTAAGTACCGAACATGCATTCTGATGTTGGATCTCGAGTTAGACGCATTGGTTGTTCAGATGTTTCAACATTTTCTGAATAGCATAAGGTTTGATCTCCAATTATGTTATCCGTTCATAATTTGTCTAAAGGAAGAGGGGATGAATCGGGACGGAGGGAGTAATTGGATATTTCTATCTCAGTGTCACTAATTAATGATAAGTCATGTTTGAATATATATTTTGTACCAATCAAACACTGTTATCACAAATGGGAAGGAGGGAGTATATAACAGAGTTCTAGCATGCATGCGAATATTCACTGTTGTACCTTCATATATTGGATACAGTATAAATGAACTTATATGCTAAGGTACATAGCATGTCAAAAACTACCAGATTATTTATGAAGTTCAAAGACTACCTGTTCCTCATGCCATTCTTTTTTCTGGAAATGGCTGACAACGGATTTTTGTATCTTGCCCCATTTTAAGGCCGGACCACCCTGATCATGTATTCATGGACATCGAGGAAATAATGAGCATGATGATAAAAGAGAGTGACGAAATTTCAATGGAGCTTCTGAACATCCTGATAAGTAGTGTTAAGAAGGAAAACCAGGCATTGCTTCTTCTCTACCACTCCATTCATTTATCTTTGATGCATCTTTCTTATTGAATTTTTAATGAAGTTGTCTTTTGGTTCAGAATGTTTCACCTCGCTCCTATATGCTAGGAGAGAGAGTTCTTCAAATAAGTTCTGTCAAACTTTGTCCATATCTTCCAGAAGTGAGCATTTCCACTGATGATTATTCTGAAGTTGTTGAATTGATATGGAAAGAGGCAACTAAAAGTAAAACTACGGTAGGTCTATCTGATAGGATTGTTCAGTTAAAATATGTGGTATTGATGAAATCATGTTTGGTTATTTGTTCTGGATTTATACTAATGATGTGAATGGTTCCTTCGCTGTGCCCTTGTCAGAATGGTACAAAGTCTCTCCCTAGTTCTAGGCCAGGAGAAATTGATCAATTTGTGGATGGAGCATCAAAATCACGAGTGGAAAATGGTCCTGAAGAGCGTTATCATAAAGCTGCTTGCTTTGATGACGCCTGGCCATCCACGGAAGAAACTTCCAAGTGTCTTCCAGATGCTGACTCTAAAGTTATTTCAGCTGATGACACTGTTGTATTATTTGAGCGATCTGCAGAGGATTTCTTTAAGACACCGGTCAATAATGACTCAAAAGAGCTTACCCGCGGAGCTGGTTATGATAGCAAAGTTGGTCCATCCGTACCTGGATCTTCCAAGTCACCTACAAATGACGACTCTAGTGAGCTTGTTGCACCACATGGTGCACCTGAGAAAGTTACTCCATTCTTAGATCAACCATCTGACTTGCTGGGGAAATATGACCCTGAGCATAAGGAAGATGACGTCGTTCCAGAGATGGATACATCTTTGAAAGGATCACAATGTGGAGATGCAACAAAGCAGCAGAAAAATACAGATTCAAGGACCAATTCTCGACCTGAAAACTTAGGTTTCATACATGCAGCTGAAAAAGATCTAGATTCAGAAGCTACTCAAGCTTCAAGGAAAAGAGGTTGGAAACCTAATTTTTTGAAAAAGCCTGAGGAAGGATATGATCATGTTTGGTTAAGTGGAGAAAGGAGATCAAAAGCCTGTATTCGCTGGAAGGATTATGCGAAAGATACTAAAAAGAGAAGTAGATGTTCACCTAAATGTGCTATCTCCGATGAATTGTACTTGTCATCTGGTGTGGAGAAGAATCTGAAAATGACTATAAAAAGACGCCAAAAGGAGCAAAATGACATAATAGGTCAGAATGATGGTGCACAAATTTCATCAATTTCAGCAAGAAATTTACCCGGAGTTTTAACAAAGAAGAAAGTCTCACAATCTACATTGATTGCTTCAGAAGAATTTGTTGTCTTGGAGGCATTAGAAAAGAAACATGAAAAAGGTGACAAGAAAAATTTACCTGCCAGCTATCGTGATAGAAGACGGCGGTCATCAGTTAAAGAATCAGGAATTGAGGTAGTAAATATAAACAGTTAGCTTCAATTCGCTGAATATGATTTGAAAGTTATGTGAATTTTGGTAAGGTATTTGTTGTGCCCTTAGTTCTTGACTTATTAATACATAAATTGAGTTTTGCAGGCATTGGCTTCTCTCTCGATCACCAGCAAGAGCAACTTTGCCAATACCTCTAAAGGTCAACGTAAGAAGGAGAACTCATCATCACAAGAAGAGGTAAACATTTGTTATCCTTAATTAGAGCTGGCTTATAGTTAACGGTATAGACAACCTTCAATAAGTGATTACTAAAGTGAATGTTCTCGTCTTGGAAGTTATGTGGATTCAAACAAAGTATTTGTCCTACCTCTCAATTTTGGACTTATTATGTACATAAATTGAGTTGTGCAGGCATTGGGTTCTCTCTCAATCACCAAAGAAAGCAACTTTTCCAAAACCTCTAAAGAACAACATAAAAGGAAGAACTCGCCATCACAAGAAGAGGTAAACATTTATTATCACCATCAATTTGACCTGGCTTATAGTTAATGATATTAAACAACCTCGAATAAGTGATTACTAAAGTGAATGTTCTCAATTTGGAAGTTATGTGGATTTAAATAAACTATTTGTTCTACCCCTTTAGTCTTGGATTTATTATGTTGTGCAGACATTGGATTCTGTTTCAATAACCAAGAAAAGGACCTTACCGAAAGCCTCTAAAGAACAACGTAAAAGGAAGAACTTGCCATCACAAGAAGAGGTAAACATTTATTATCACTTATTAGAGCTGGCTTATGGTTAATGATATTAGACAACCTTCAATAAGTGATTACTAAAGTGAATGTTATCAGTTAACGAGGTTATTTATGTGCTGAAACTAGTTTTCCATTGTACTTGTAAAAACAAATCTAGTTTTCCTTTGTAACTGAAGAGAAGACTTTTGACCAATTAGAAATTTGAAGTGCATACAAGCTTCTCCAAGGCATAGAATATCTCTGTATGTGACACGCAAAAATTGTGAGCGGATAGGAAAGTGGGGCATACCTCTCTCATTCTCTGCATTGATTAGTGTTGTTTGCTTTCAAGATTTATGAGCATTTCTATAATCTTCTCAGGATTCTGCGGATAAGGTTGTCAGAGAGCACGGTGAGGAGCTGATTGGCTGCAGAATAAGGGTTTGGTGGCCACTGGATCAAAGGTTTGTGATTTCACTGAATTAATTGTTATGCAGTCTAGCTTCTGCTATTCCTGTTAAAAGCTTTTAATGTTTTGCTCTTTCACCGAGTGAGTACAAATTTTTTCATTTGAACAAACTCTGAATGAATCACTCTGTCATAATATTCTGAATATGACTAATGTTTAAGAATCAGCCTCAATTATGTTGTTATGTGCAGAAGGTAGGTAAAATATTTTTAAATGTTAATGATAAGAAATAGATGTCTAGAATGTATAAAGAAATACTGGGATCTGTTTGAATCATGAAGGAAATAGTGACTACATCGAACCCCTAATTAGCTGGACGGGGCAAAGAAGATGGATTAGTATGGGCAATTGTAATATTAAAGTTTCTTGTGGTAAAAATTAAATAAAAGTACTTGTTATAGTCCAGCCATCATAAGGACTTGTGAGCTTCTAAAGTCCTGGCATGAAATTCTAAGTTGACTTGTTTTAGAGAAGGGGAGCCTGGTACACACCTGCATGCTAACAATGTACGACTAAAAGCCGTAAAAGGTTGATTGGACTGAGTCGAACTATGCTGTGAGTGATTCCTGTACGCTTTGACTAGTTCCATGGGATACTTGCTGCTTCCCACTAGCACATGTATCGGGTAACTTTTTCCACCATCGCTCGGATGGGAAGAAATCACCTAGTGTTTTTGCCGGGATTTGAACCTGAGACCTCATGGTTCTAAAAAAAGGTTTTCAGTACGGGAATATGTGTTTCAAAATTCAATCTATAGAAGCCTTTCTTAAGGAGTAATATGACAACTTTAAGATGCTAAGCAAATGTATCTTGTTGGTGCTTGGTTCAGTCATTGCGTCTTTGGAGATATGGTAGTATCATTGTGCAAAGGACATTTAATTAAAGATTTGGTAGTATTTTTATGATTCTTTTTTCAGAAAAAATTGTTAGGTCCGTAGATGCAGACTTTTGAGCATTTAGCTGCTTCTTTTTTATCCTCTATTTACTTTGACATATTATTTTGTTTCGTTCTAATGTAGTATATTTTTTAGTTCAAATGTTACATTACATAGAATTCATATTCTGTAGGTTCTATGAAGGACATATCGCCTTGTTTGACCGTTCAGAGAAGAAGCATATGGTAAAGATTTAGTATGTTTTAATAAGACATTATTTGTCTTGTATATTAACTGATGTCAACTGCTATATATAATCATACTCCCTTGGACTTCAGCTGGTTGATGCTCCTCATATGTTAATAGGCTGGGTATCAGTATACATTTTCACAGGCAGAATTATTTCTGAATCTAATTTGGAGTTAATTTGACGAGCAGCTTTTTGTGTGTTGGTAATGTTTTATCATTTATGTTTTTTCTCATGGTATTTTAAGGTGATCTATGATGATGGTGAGGAAGAAACGCTAGATCTTACAAGTGAACGCTGGGAACTGGTTGTAGAGGACAATGCATCAGATCCTGTGGGTTCCTACCAGTCTTTTCTTTTCCCTTCTCTTCTCTATTCATCTGTTCTGTACTTGTCTTTAATTGCATAACTTATTGGTGGATGTATTTCAGAGGCGAGAGATTGTTTCTGGTCCCAGTGATTCGTTTGACATGTAAGCTTTCTTCACACAACTTACTCTTTCATGGAAAGTCATTATGGTTATTTAGAATGCTGCTTGTAAAGTTGACATAGGAAAACATTTTGTCCCTATCGTTTCGTGATTACGATAGTGAGAATTGAGGATGCAACTTTTACAGTTGGCATCTCATTGGTTACAACTATGTCTGACTGAGAGTGAAATATTGAGTTAAAACTTAGATCATTGTTACGTGCTGGATAGCTATAGATACTAGAGTGAACCACCTTCATTTAGCTTTTCCTGTACTTCTTGGCGCCCTTTCATTTTCCTCTCAGTACATTGAATCTAAATTCAACAATCCAATTTTATTGTAGTTGTCTTGCATAGACATGGATTTACCTGCAAGTCTCTCACTGAAAATGTCACATCCTTTTATTTTCCTTTTTTTTTTTAGCAAAACTTCTCGATAGGTTGGATATACAAACTTTATACATTTGCCTTCCTTTCCCTATTTCACTAGTTTGCTTCTCTTGCTGTGCTATTGGTGTCCTCATTTTCAGGTAAGCTACCCCTACACATCTATCTTCACCCTTGGTTGGAAGTGTATGTTATATGCTTTAATGTTATATGTTAAATGCATGCATCAGAATAGTGATGGTTGTGTCCAACCATAAACCGTGTTCAAATCTTCTTGCGAAGGTGGATTCTTAAGTAATGCATCCATCACTGAAAGTATCCCAGCAAGCTTCGGAGCTAAAAGTGATGCCCTTAAATGTCCAACCTGTTATAATAGAGCCTTCAGCCATTTACTTAATAGAATCATGTTAGAATCTTTCTTTTGTCTCTGCCCTTTCAACAGAATGAGATCTTTCCTTACTTCTTTTTCCCTTAAAAAAGAAACATTCTTTTTTGTCTCCTGCCTTCTTTAATTTAATTACAGAATTACTGACATACACCCTTCCTAATTTTTTAAGAAAACAAAAAACCTGAAAGGTTACTTCGTTTTCCAGATAATTAAACTTATCAAGTGAAGTTCCAGATAATAACAGTGTCTTTCTAGTTTTTTGTGGATAGGCAATTTCTTTCTAGTATATTTGGGATTTAAACAAGATATAAGACTTTTTTAGAATTTATTCGGAATGTACATGCTAAAATGAAAGAAACTAAAAGTCAAGCACTGCTTTAGTATATATTTGATAAGTTGCTGTATGTGAATAATAAACAACAGAATAATGTTATGTTTGTGGCGAAGTTTTTCTGTTGTTGTCCATTTTGAAGTATTAATAAACTTCTGAAATAAACCCCAGTAAAGGTAGAATGTGAATGAACTTTTCTTGGGTGTTCAATGTGTTTACCGATTGCATTCTATGTTATTTGTACAGAGGTGCAGATTTCCATTAAATTCTTTTTAAAGGACTAGACCAACTACTGGGACACACTGTAGTAATGCAAAAATACAGTCGATAGGAGTACTATTTTTTCTTATGAACTAGGATAAGATACTATGTTGCATTTTGAAGTTTAAAACTTTCACGTTATATTCTTCACAGCTCTTGCTTTCTCAAATATGCGTGAAACAAGTTAATGGTTGATAACATAAGTTGTTAATGTGCAGGCGCCTTGGTTGCATCATTGATTCATATCGTCATTTAAGGAAAAAGAAGAAGGTGAGAGTACTTTTGTGGAAGATTTCTGCCTGTGAGCTACACATATTTTTGTTCAGATCTCTTTCTAAGATTACATTACTCTATTTATTTTTTATTGTTTTCATATTTCATCATCAAATTTTGTATCAGATAAGTTGATTGAAGAAATTTTATTTAATTAATAAAATTTCCTCTCTTTTTTTGTCACATTGAAAGAATTTGATTGGAACAGGCAACATTTTATGTTTATACTGCAAAGCTTACCTAGTTGTAGTTACCACATCTCCTTTTACACAATACCTTTTGTTTCTCTGGTGGTATAAGCGCATAACTGAATTTATTATGTGTCATTGATGGAGTGCAATTCTCTTGGTGTAAAAGTTTTTCTGTTTTCTTGGTTGGAGGTCAGCAAAGGCCTGCTAGGCTTCTGAGATAACTTCTGTCTTGAGTTGCATTTGATCAATGACAGTTATTTTTTGATTGGTGATCAATAGTAATTTAAATCTCCAACTTCCTCTATGTTTACCTTGGTAAAAGCTGAAAGGGCCTCATTCTTATTCCTTTACCATACTTGGGTCTTGAGAAAAATAGTTCATGGTTCTGCCGTTTTCTTTAGCCTTTCTTATGTGAATATATAGCAAACTCGAAACCAAAATAGGCAGAAGGTTCTTTATATACTACAAATCACACTATTGATCAAACTCTTAGATCCCGGGGAGAAAAGATTATAATGACACTCATCTCTTTCTGTTTCTCTGTTGAGCTTTCAAGCTCATGCTCTGCTTCATCTTAGCCGTCCATGTTTTCTCTACAACTACAATAACAACTACAATAACAACTGTGCTTCAATTTTAAGTTGGCTATATGGATCCTCACTATCCATTTCACTCCATTTGGACCCACTTAATCTAATACTCGATTTGGGTTATCACAGATATTCAATAACTTGGGATTCTCTAGATTCAGAGATTCTCTACAGTTTCGACTCACATACACATCTCAAAACAGACTAAAAAGACTCCTATCAAACATTACACTGCATACTGTCATGACTAAGTTGTGTTTCCTCTTGTATTTCTTACAATTTCCACTATAGTAATGTCCTTTACTCATCTGATCCCAAAAGACACCCATTGTCCATATTTCCTTAATTTCTCCCTTGCCGATTATCATTAAAGCAGATATATGGTCCATTTGTGAATGATCGTTAATGATGATCCAAGGAGCATTGAATGCTTGTCATATACGTTAGCTTGGCCAAGATGCTGTATTGTGCTGCCTTGTATGACAGCGAAGAGATATGAAAGAATGTACAACTTTTCACACCTCTTCCCTCTTGGCTGCTAGATCCCCAAATAACGTTCCATTTAGATGATTCCTGGATCATTAACCATGTAATACCTTCTTATGGTTGGTCAGTAGTGCTATTATTGTTCTCTACTGCATTTCCATCTTTAGTCTATGTGCCTTTTCATTCCTAGTAAGGGTGATGACATGTCATGTTGCTGAGCGGTGCGATTCAACAATTATTTTATTTTCACTAAAATCCATTTACCTCTTTGGGGAAGTTGTCATACCTTCAAATGCATTAACATGTTTCCATAACAAAGCTTCCCCTTTGATCGTCCAAACCCAACGAGATTTTCCTGCAATTTCTTTAACCCTGTATTTTGGAATAACATCCAACTTTTTCCCCTTTAGTGAAATCAGTGAAATCACGGGAAGACCGCCCTAGCTGTCAAATGCACTAGCATTTTCCTATCTGATAAGACTATCGTTCATAAATTCCGATTCAAATTATTGTCCCTCATTTTGTAGTTCTCTTCATGCTATAGGGTTATTAAAGTACTTATCTTTAATCTTTGAGTTCAAGTAAAAATGTAGAGATTAAAAAAATCAGCGACAGTTCTCATTTGCTACTGGATAATGTTAGGTTATAGTGTTCTTATGACAAATTTCACGGAAAAGAGGCAGAAAAGTTTCCTTTATATAATGTCGAGGGAGAGGCAGAAAAAGTTATTTAACGTTGACAGAGAGGCAGAAAAGTGTCTTCATATAATGTTAAGGGAGGGGCAGAAAAAGCTGTCCTTGTGTCACTGATGCAATAGACGGTCTGCTCATGGGATTCTTAAGAGTTATGGAATAAGCAATCAGTGGCTGTTTTTAGTTGGAACTTGTTCCACCACTGCACTCAACAATTTAACTGTGGCAGTTCAATTTGTAAGTATTAATTAGCTTAGTTTCCAATTCATTCCCATCTAATCTTATGGATAGGTCATTTTATATCCATCCTTTGACTTAAACTAGAGTTAAGACAATCTAATTGTGCGTGCCTTTAACGCTTCAGGAAATAGTCTTTGAGGTTCTCTAAGGATAAAGAGAGAAAATTAAACCGTGGAAGTTCAATTTGTGGGTGTCAATCAGCTTACTTTCCTATTCAGTTCAAGCATCTAATGAAGGGGTCTAGTTATGGTTATCTTGGCTTTAACTTGAGTTAACACAACATAGTCGTACGTGGCTTTACTATGATTAACAGAATGCTTCAACAAACAATCTTTGAGGTTCTCTTAAGATAAAGGAGAAAATTCAAGTCGGGGCAGAGTTTGCTGCTAGTCCACATTAGTTTACGATTTCGTATACTCCCATGGCTTAAATTAGAGTTTGATACAACCTTTGATATTTGTAATGAGAATTTAGAGTTCAAAAGCTCTTAGATTATTTACGCACGTTTAGACATAGATAAAGACATTCCATGGGTACATCGCATTCTGAGACATGTTTATGCTCAAGTGATGCTATTGTCCAATGTATCAAACAATATTTGACATTTTGCCTTAGGATGTACAGACCTTAGATATCAATGTTCTTAAAGGCTCGACTAAGGCACCCTTAAACCCTGAAACTTGATGACACCCAGGTTGTGCGCTTCGCCTCGCTTAATTGGCGCTACTGTCGATTTCTAGATAGTAGATTCTTTTCATACTGAGGTCGAGATTGTAGGCCCCTGTGTATACACTTCTTCCACATCGGGATGAGAAGGAGCCCTCTATGGTAGGCGCCAAGCGGCAAGCGTGCCCCTCTCATCAATGAACTATGTCTTTAAAAGCACGACGCTAGACAATGAATTTAGTTGACAAAGTTATACACTAAGTGTTAATAAAATGCTATGACTAAACTTTTAATGATTAGGAAAAGATAATTGGAAATTTAGTATAAGAAATCTACGCACTAAAAAGTTAAATCATCTTGTCATCTCAATAAAAAATAATGGTTTTTTAACTTGATTGACATGATTTTCATTTTACTTCAAATATATGGCTTAATTATTGTTTTTTTCATTCTTTTGTCAAAATATTTATTGTTTGTGTCTATAGTTACATCTTCTTGCATTACTTGTATATATTTCACTGTTTTCAGTAGCGCTTTTCTTTGTTAAAACCTACGCTTTAATTGTGCATTGCTCTAAAAGCCCCAATTGACTTTGGCGGTTTTCTGCACTTTCCACTTTTGACTACTTGAAAAATTGGCAGGGGAAAGCAACTGATGATCTGACTCCTCGTCCAACAAAGTAAGTTATTTATATGGCATTTAACCCCCTCTGCATAATAATTAATGGAATTGGAGCTGAATGAAGTATTTCTATATTAAGGACCATGCAACGTGATTTAACTCAAAAAGGAATGCACCAAATTAAAAGGATCAAAGTTGAAGTTTCAGAATCTGAGATAGAGGGAAATCCAATGAGCTTGACAACACCTAGAAAGGTTTCCCCAGGTTCTCCTATCGAAGATGGTGATGAATGCTGTGAATTGGTTGATGTGCATGGCTATAAAGTAAAAGTGAGCAGTGCTCCTACACTTGCTGCCATTTTTAGCAAGTATGGTGACATTACAGCCAACTGTCAGTATAAATCACCGACTGTCAAAGCTTCCCTTCTTGAGGTGGTTAGTGATGTTGTCAGGCGGCTGAAAACCAGTGATATTGATACTAATTTTTCTGCCATTCAAGATATGAAATCTGTAGTCTCTGATGCTGCAGATGCAAAGCTTGATGTTTCTTGGCTGCAGCAGTATCTTGAGGAGATATCCGAAGAGGAAGATGTGAAGAAAAAGTCTTCCAATCTAATGGAGTTAAGGGTGACTACAATGCTTGCCACTAAAGCAGCTAAAAAGGACTTGGTAGAAAGGAATGGGGAGGTCTTAGCAGCAGAGAAACGGCTCAAAAAGGCTGAAAGGCGCTTGCAAGAGGCGCAAAGCCGAGCAGGAGAGGCAGAAAGGTTTGTCAAAGTATTTGAAATACTGGGTGAAAAGGTTCAGCAGGACATCGAGCAGTGTAAGGATGCACTATATTGGCAGAGTAGGTCGAATGACCTTCTGTAGCCTGCATGAAGCTGGGAAGATGGCAGATGGTTGAGACTTGTTTTGTACATGATGGTGACATTTATCTCATTGCAAACTTTCGCATTTTGTGCAGTTTCAAGTTTGTCATAAAACAAAAAACTGGACTTGGTTTTTGTATGTAATGCGATATGTGCATGATTGGAAATGATTATTAGGTTACTGTGTACCTAAGTTGCTCCGACACGGCAATTTAGGTGCCGCACCCGTGTAGACACGACTCTAGTATGGGTGTGGGTATGAGATCCGTATCGGATCTGGTCAAACAATTTTGGGTACTTTGACCACGACGGACGGAAAAATCTCGAGACGAGATACAATTTGATTCCCAAAAACAGAATCAAAACTAAGGTAAATTTGAATATAATAATATACCTTATCTAGAAAATCAATCCTTTACTTGAAAATAAAAAATACGTAAGTAATTCACAAAATTTCTCATAATTTAAAAATATTTTTAGTTTTTTTGAATTATTTTTAGCCGGATCTCCGTACCCATATTCGTAATAGGATCCGTATCCCCGAATCTTAGAATTTACGTCTCAAAGGTTCCGATCTCTAGATTCGTACCCATGTCGGACACCCGCACCCGTGTTCGAGCAACTTAGCTGTGTACTGTCTCAAAGGAAGACTAATACCATGGCCTCTACAAAACCATGAACAATTGGGGTGTTGTGCTCAGTGTGGTTTTTTTTTTTGAAAAGGAGCTGCTTAAGGTACACTTGAACTATTCCGCTTCAAATTTGATAACTTTCTGTTACAGAACCTGCACTGATGTTTTTCTTAAATATTGAGTTCTCTTCATATGCATTATGAAGTTAGTCTAATCAGGGACAAGGAAGATATTTTCTTCCCCCTAGCTGTGGGCAGATGTTGAAGGGGAGCCTTGGCGTGAAGGGGAGCCTTGGCGTAACTGGTAAAGTTGCTGCCATGTGACCAGGATGTCACGGGCTCGAACCGTGGAAACAATCTCTTGCAGAAATGCACGGTAAGGCTGTGTACCCTTGTTGTCGAGCCCTTCCTCGGACCCCGAGCATAGCGGAAGCTTAGTGCACCGGGCTGCCCTTTATCAGTAGGCAGATCATTTGAAATAGTAGGTTCTTACTGTAGTCATTTACTCTTTGGATGAGTGTTGATTACTTAGTTTCATGGTGTCCTAAACTGAAATGAGAATTTACATCTTTTCTCAAGAACCAGGACATTTGAATAAAATCTCTTGCTCAAGTAGAATTTGCCTAATGTCTACAAGTTAATTAAAGATGGAAATCTATTGGGCAGAAGTATAGTGTTTGAAGGATTCACTTTTAGTAATATTTTGATTTATATATATGGGTATTAGGTTTAGTGAGTCGGATCAGGTTGAGTAATTTCTATTTTAATTGAATTATTATTTATTTGACAGAAAGTAAAAAACAAAAAACTGTGGAATAAGAAAATAATATTGAAAAGTTGTATTTCCGATCACTATGATTTTTATGCGAATTAGTAAATTTTTTATGATTTTTGTGTGAGAGAGCAAAGTTATATGACTTTGGTGAAAAAAATCACAGTTATATAATTATTTGTGAAATTTACCCTGCTTTAAGTTAAATCAAATTAATTCTACGATACTGAGGGAGAAAATGAAAATGAAATACTTCCGAAATTTTCAGTTTTATTTACTCTTTTTGGACATCGATTCTTTATATATACTTTATGTCTGTGAGTGTGTTTTGTGAAAAAAAGATAATCAAAACTCTTGTATTGGAGGCTCGCCATTTTTCCTTTTGTTTTTCTATTAGCTTGTTTAGAATTAGTACAAATTAACTTTAATATGTCCCTTTTCAAAGATTAAAATTTTTAATTTAACGTTTTGCAGCTTCATTAATGTTTAATCTGAAAAAGGCTCAACAAGTAGATTCATGGAATACTTATTAGGCCACTTCTTTCTGAAGTGCATGTACTATATCTATTTTCTTAACGATATACAGTTGTAGCATTTTCCCAGAATTTCTAACCACCAATTCTACCTTTTTCGTGCCATATACTTCAGTACTACAGAACGCTTGAAGCTTAAATCCTACAAAATCCAGTAGCACCACACAGGCCTTGACATCTGCAGCAGTTTCAAGAATATGCACAGCCTTATTATAATAACAACAGCCTGATATTGGAAAATACCCTTACTGTAAGTTGGAGAATTTCCTTATATTTATAATTTTAATTTGAAAAATTAACCTAAACAGTCGTTCACCCAACCGCTTAAACTACAAATAGCTGTCTGATGTATAATATGTATTTAATCATGTATAATATCAATGTATAATCTATATATGCGGCTACGAAAAGTAAACAGTGCATTCGACCGGCTATTTATGTAAAGATCCGCGCCTGAACAAAAGGCAATGAATATAAAGTGGAGGATATGAAATGATCTAAACTAGTTTAGTCTATGGGTCTCTCCATGTGTATTAGCGAAAGAGAACAACAAATTAAAATATTATATCTTGGATTCACGCTCTAATAAGCGTTTTAGCACTCCTTATTTGAAGAGGTTATTCTGAGAGTTCGAACCTAAAACCTTGATTATGGGTGTATACGGTCGAAATGGATTTCAGCCTTGGCACGTCCGGTACGGTTCAAAGGGTGGTGTATCGAAGTAAGATCCCGAAGGGGGAACGAACTAACCTAGAGCCCGGGGAAGCCGGTCCGTGTTGAGATCGATATCATAATCAAACTCGAACAAGAATCGAACCATGGCGCGGGTAGATCTATCGTGCTGATAATTCAAAAATCAACCTACATCGACCTGGAATCCATCCGAGGGCTCGAACCAGGATCGGGCTCGAACCAAGATCACGAGTTCGAGCCGAAATCAAGCTCGAACCAAAATCGAGGATTCTAAGCAAGATCGAGCTCGCAGACAAAAGCCATTGTAATCCCACTAGAGGGAATCTTGACAGAAATTATGAAAAAGCTGATTTATCATGGGTCTCCCAATGAATGTTTATTTTATTATACTTGGAGCCAAACCCTTTCACTATAAAAGGGCTTGTTTACCATTTCTTGAAGGGATCTTTTTTGAGACTTAAACTATCAAAAACTGTATTATTTCCTTTGTAAGGAAGAGGGATCATTCTAGTTTCTTAGATTGATTCTATTTTGTAAAATCCTAAATTCACTGTTCATAATCGATTTGCCTGGATTACGTTTTCTCCAACCTATATTCATCCTTTTATTTATCCTAGTATTCTGTATTAAGTTGTACCACATATCTTCGGAACTGCATATAAATTCAACTATATCCATTTTTCGGGAAAACAATGGGTTAAAAAACCTTTACAATTCCACTACACCCTTTAGTGGTTGATAGCTTCATTACTAATTAGTCCATCTGGTTTCTATGACACGCACCCTTTAGTGGTTGTAAAGATTACACTTTCTAAAAGTGGAAAGGGATAAAGTTGCAGTTTCCATAGATTACCAAAATATGAGAAAACAACTTCAAGAAAATATAGAGGCAGTTTATAAGATTAAACCATGAACATGAAGAAATTGCTCTTTGGTGGAATTCATGTTATTTCATCCACTAAATAATGGATATATTGTCCTTTTCATTGTAATTTCAATATCATTATACTAAAATTGTAACTACCACTTTCATTCCTCCAATTCTAATTCAGTACCATGTATGGAATAGGTATAAGAACACAATATTTCAATTTGGAACTAAAAAACCATCCTAATAAACACAAGGAAAACTAAGCACCATATTTAATTGACAAAAACATTTGATCTATTTTTTTTTTTTTTGGTATTATCAACATCAAATCAATCTACAATGATAACAAATAAAGGCGGAAATAAAATACGGATAAAGCTGATACATACTTTGTATGTAGAGAACATGAAATAAATAAAAATTAAATTTTTACATCAAGAAGATTGACAAAGGAAGTGCAAGACATAGTCAATGCTGATTATATAAGAGGAGAGACAAGTGCAGCTAGTTTATGTTGCTGGTAATTTTGAGACCAAATGGGAATGGCTGACATGCAAAGTCTCTCCAAAAGTGTAATCTCCACTCGACTTATTCACATTGATTGCGTTTTTTAAGCTAATTTTGGCTTGAGGTTCATAACCTTAAATTTTTTAGGGTTTCTCTGCTTTTGTTGTGTGCTTAATCTCATATGCTATTTGGCATTGAATTTGACGTGGTTTTGCAAAGGAAGTTTCTATGCTATGCAGCAAATTAAATGGAGATAGGAAGATTCACTTAGTTGAGAGGATGTTATATTGTTATGTATTCAACTATTTATATTTGAGGAATATCGTCTCATTCATAATTTCTTTTTTGGTTTAGTCATCAAGTTCCAACTTTGTATAGAAAATTGAGTGTTGTTCATGGATAATCATTTATGTTGTAGATTCTCCACTTTTTAGGTGTATTGCTTGTATAAAAGATTTTTTTAAATTATTAATGAAATTATTAATCTTAATAAATAGTAATACAAAAATATTATATAAATATTTCAGAAAAAGTAAAAGCCAATTGGATATATATAGGGATAGATGGCAAAGAGAGCCATTATATCATAAATCTAACATACTGCAACAAAGGAAAATAAAATGAAAATATGCAATTGCATCATCATTTATAAAAAAGTGAACCGACGGGATAAACTACGTCAATTAATTTAATTTAATTAAATTAAAAATTACAAGGAAACATAAAATAAGAAACAACATTGATAAACTAAATTGTATAGTCTACTCAAATTATTGGAATTTGTTTTTCAGGAGAAAGATAATTTCTGAATTCTATTGGAATAATTTTATTGTTAGAAGAAAGATAATTTCTATAATAAAAAGTTATCCCATTTAATTTGTTAAAAATGAACATAATGAGAATCAAATCATGTAAAAAATGTTCATATTGACAAACATTCTCTTTGGGATATGTTGCATCGTTTCACTATTGTTAAAAAACTTCTAGAAATAAATGTATACATGACATTTCAAAATATACAAAACCACTTTTAAATTGAGAAATGAATCAATGATAGNTACTTTTAAATTGAGAAATGAATCAATGATAGAGATACGACAAACGTTAATATCACTATAAAATTGAAATTCTCAGTCTAAAGTGAGCCCTTTTGTAAGCATAGAA